CTGTGCGTGTGCCCTGCCATAACATCAGGGGTGTCAGGGCATGCAGTCACATTTTCCAAAGACATCTGAGCCCAGATAGGAATGGAGCGTCCTGTTGTGTGGACTTTATGCCGTGTGTACCTGGTACCCAGTGCCGGATGACGTGATGCCTGTGGGAGCATGTGGGATGGCACGCGTGTGGGTCTTCCCCGGGTGTGTGTGTGGGGTGTCCGGGTCAAGCTGGGTGGTAGGGAGAAGGGGCCACTGCCTAGACCTGCCTAGGGGAGGGAGGGGCACCGTGGGAACAGCCTGTGGCTCTGGGTGACGTCATGGGGAGGGAGATGGAAAGCTGCCTAGGCACGTCGGGTGGTGGCAGCCTCAGCCCTCCCCAGCCGGCACCCATCAGCTTCCCTGTCCTCCAGGCTGGACGGGCCTCTGCCCAGTGGGGTACGAGTGGAAGGGGACACTCTGGGCTTTCCTCCGCTGACCCCTGAGCACAGTGGCGTCTATGTCTGCCACGTCAGCAATGAGCTCTCCTCGAGGGATTCTCAGGTCACTGTGAATGTTCTTGGTAAGCACCGGGGCAGGGACAGGGACGTGGGCCAAGGGCCTGGTGGGGGCAGCAGGAAGCAAGACAGAGACAGTGAATTGGGAGAGTGTTTATTAGAGGGGAGGACTGCATGTATTTTGCAGAGGGTCCTGCTGAGGGGGTGGTTTTAGATGTGTTCTGTGAGGACACTGGGCGGGGGGGCTGTGGGGTCTAGCGGGGGTCAGGGATCTGGGCATCCACCTCAGACAGTGACCTGTCTCAGCAGACCCTCAGGATGCCCCAGGGAAGCAGGTGGACCTGGTGTCGGCCTCCGTGGTGGTGGTGGGGGTGATCGCTGCGCTCCTGTTTTGCCTTCTGGTGGTGGTGGTGGTGCTCATGTCCCGATACCATCGACGCAAGGCCCAGCAGATGACCCAGAAATAGTGAGTACTGGCTGCTCTGGGCAGGTAGAGGTAAGCTGGGAACACAGAGGAGGCACGCAGGAGGTGGGCCAGGACCCAGGAGCGAGAGGAGACTGGGTGGCCGGACATCTGGGGAGCTTATGGACCAGAGGTGGGCAGAGTCTTTCGGGAGGTGAGAAGGAGTTTGGGGCTTGGACCGCTGCTGAAGGAGGGGAACCATACTGCCTGAGTGAAGGTCAGATCCATATGCCTGGGTGTCACCAAGTTCACACACTCGGCACACACACATGCTCTATAGCCACACCGCCACCTGCAGCCACTCACTCACACTGCAGGGATGGCACAGCACCCACACCTTCCAGCCCCATCTCACAGAGGCTGGGCCAGGCTAGGTTCACCTTGGGAGGCCACCACTACCCTCAGCTCCTGACAAGGGGGTGTCTTTCCCAGTGAGGAGGAGCTGACCCTGACCAGGGAGAACTCCATCCGGAGGCTGCATTCTCACCATGCGGACTCCAGGAACCAGGTGTGTGCCAAGGTTGGCTGCCTTCATGGGGCCAGGGCCCCCGTGCAGACCAGGAGCATGGCCCTGCACCAGGTCTGGCTGCTGACTCATAGCTAGGGCTGGGCTGGGGTCAGAGTTGGGGGGGTGTGGACACTTCGGGTCTGCTGGGGTCCTCGGAAAGGCTCCCCTCAGCACTGGCCTGGGGGCTGCTCTGGGAAGCCACTATCAGCACTGATTCCAGGGTGGGATTAGGGTGGGGGTGGGGGAATGAGGAGAGGATGGACCTCTTGGGCTGGGGGAAAGGTGATTAGGGAAGAGGCTGCTGGAGGACAGAGGTGAAGAGGCTGAGGGGAGGAGACTGAGCCTTGTTCTGACTCCTCCCCCATGTCCGGGCCCCGCAGCCGGAGGAGAGTGTAGGGCTGAGAGCCGAGGGCCACCCTGATAGTCTCAAGGACAACAGTAGCTGCTCTGTGATGGTGAGGCCCCCGGCCCCACCGGTGTCCCCACCACTCTCCTCAGGCCCCTCTCCTGGTCCCAGATGTGGTGCGTCAGCAGCCCCCTCACCAGTCCCTCTCGCCTCAGCCCTGGCTCACACGGCCCAGCCTCACACCTCTGCTATGCCTTTGTTCTCGTGTCTCCCCTTCCCCATGCCTAACAGTCCTTCCTCCCCGCCCCCATCTCTGAGCCCCTATGCCTCTGAGACAACCCTAACCCCTGCTGTGCCTGACCTCTGACCCCACCGTGCCCTAACCAGCCCCCCTCGTGTCTGGCTGCCCTGCCTTGGTTCCTGACTGGTCTCTGCCCTTGGTTTCCAGAGTGAAGAGCCAGAGGGCCGCAGTTACTCCACGCTGACCACGGTGAGGGAGATTGAAACTCAGACTGAACTGCTGTCTCCTGGCTCCGGGCGGGCAGAGGAGGAGGAAGATCGGGATGAAGGCATCAAACAGGCCATGAGCCATTTTGTTCAGGAGAATGGGACTCTGCGGGCCAAGCCCACGGGCAATGGCATCTACATCAATGGGCGGGGACACCTGGTCTGACCCAGGCCTGCCTCCCTCCCCTAAGCCTGGCTCCTTCTGCTGACAAGGGGAAATTTCAGCTCATCTTGGGGGCCTCCCTAAACACCCCGTTTCTTGAGGAAGATGCTCCCTACCCCACTGACTGCTCGACCTTTTCCTCCAACCCTTCTGTTCAACGACGGGAGGGCTCCACTGGTTGAGTCCCTCCCACCGTGTGTGCAGGTCACTGTGTGTGCATTTGTGCTTGCGTGAGTGTTCACTGACAGTGTGTGCGTGGAGGGGTGACTGTGCCCATGGTGTGCATCGTGTTGTCATGTAAGAGTCCAAGTGAACCATGGTGTGTGTGTCACAGGATTCCCGTGGCTGCGTGGGAAACGCCGTTGGGGTTTGGTTTGTGTGTTGTGTGGCTGTGTGACCTTTGCCTGTAAATGCAGGTGTTTTCCTCAGACCCCAGAGCAGTATTAATGATGCAGAGGTTGGAGGCGAGAGGTGGAGACTGGGGGCCAGGGCCAGGTGTGCGGGCCTAGCTGGAGCTGGAATCTGGCCTCCTGAGTGGGGGAGCCGGGCTCCCACCATTTGGGAGCTGTTGGGGCAAGCGTGAAGCAGCCAGCCTAGGGGTCGGCCAGAGGCTCCAACTGTTACAGAAGAAGCCCTCTGCCCTCTGGTGGCCTCTGGGCCTGCTGCATGTACATATTTTCTGTAAGTAAACCCTCCCAGGGGAGCTTCTTTAAGGAATACTACACCAAACTCTTTAATAAGAGAAAAGACTTTTTAACAAACTTTTGATTTATCTGGATGTTCGTTATTACTAGGATTGCTTGAAATGAGGCTAGACTATACAGGAATTCAGCAAAGCTAGACCTTGCTCGACCCCACCCCAGGGGGTTAATTCCTGTGGTTCTGAAAGGTGCTGCTGCTTCTTCTTCTTTTTTTTTTTTTGGTGAAGAATACTAGCCCTGAGCTAACATCTGTTGCCAATCCTCCTCTTTTTGCTGAGGAAGATTGGCCCCAGGCTAACATCCATGCCCATCTTCCTCTACTTTTTATATGTGGGGCGCCTGCCACAGCATGACTTGATGAGCCGTGCATGGGTCTGTGCCCAGGATCCGAACCCGCGAACCCCAGGCTGCCAAAACAGAGTGTGTGAACTTAACCACTATGCCACTGGGCCAGCCTCTGAAAGGTGCTCCTTCTAAGGCATATTAATCTAGGCAGCCTCTTAGGAGGGAGCCTGGGGCTGGTGGAGTCTGAATTAGCGGCCTGAGCCCTGCGGTTAGCGGCTACGGGAGGACAGGGTAGGGTCCTTGGCCCTCGTGGCTCTTCAGCTCTTCCCCTCCCCTCATCTCTTTTCTTACTTGTATCCACAGTTGTTTGTGGTCCCTTGGGGGGTTCCTGGGGCTTAGTGTCAGGGGCTCCTGGTTCAGTTGTGGGGTAGGGGAGAGAGGGTAGTGATTACACACCAAGCAGGTGAGCTGAAAGAGCTACTGGGGGCAAGAATGTCTCCTTTCCCCCAGGAGTCTTGGGATCACTAAGTTGGGCTCTTCTGGCATTTTCTCTGGGTGGGGACTGGGGTTAGGTAAGGTCCATTTTTGTCAGGCCACCCAAACACACTCAGCCTAAATACCTACATTTAGCACCCAAACCCTGTGTGGCCTGAAATCTGCTGGATTTCTGAACCAAAGGAGAGACGCCCATGCCCCATTCCCCAGCCAGCCCAGGACTCTGGATTTGGAACCCAAAGATCTGGGGTCCTAGTATGTACATCTGTGTAAATATGTGCATATTTGTACATAAAATGATATTCTGTTTTTAAATAAACAGATAAAACCTGTTCTGTCTGGTTTCTGTCTTGCCTCCTGAACCGTGTGAGCCCTGAACTCCTATGTTCTCTGTCTCAGCGCCATCCTCCCTGTGGTCCCAAGTAGAGGAGTCAGGATGCCTGTGGCCCGGAGGGAGAGGGGGAAGAAGTGGCCTCCACAAGCTTCAACTGTCTCTGAGCGTCTCCGGGTAGGACTGTGGAGCTAAGAGCCCCTTCCAGGATAGGCAGTGCCTTAGTTTGCCGTGTTGTAAATCCCGTACTGTGTTGGGGTCTCCCCCAACAGGCCTGGGAGGTGGACAGCAGGGCACAGTTTTTATAGACAAACTAAAACTCAAATGAGTTCCACAGAATGTTAGAGTTGGAAAAATTTAAAGATCATCTAACCACTCCCTTCATTTTCACATGTGTGGAAACTGAGGCTCAGCAAAGTAATGTGACTTGACTGAGATTTTGGCCCCATCAGGAGCAGAGCCTGGGCATCCTCCCTCCTGGTTGTGCTTTGCACAGCCCTGTGCTGCCATGCTCCCAGGCCAGCCTCCAGTCTCTACCTCAGACCCCCGAAATTCTGGTCTCTAAGGGTTTCAGTCACCTGCTCACGCCCCAGGCGCCACCACCCCACCCCAGGGCTCTGACATCACCTCCACTTGACCAATGAGCGAAGTCCCAGCCGTGAGTGAGGATGTGAATGTCAGCTACCTCCCCCACCCCAGGTCCTGTGGTTGCAAAGATGCTCTAACAGGAAGCGGGTTTGAGGAGCTGCACAGCTTCCTGCCCCCCCAGGGCTGAGCGGGGCGACAAGGGCGAGTGCCAGGCCGGCCACGAGACACAGCTTCTTGCCAGGGTCCTGGCAGCTTCCTCTTCCACAGCCACTTCCGTGTGGCCGGGGCCCCAGAGGCAGGAGCTGCTGCCCGTTGCCCAGGCCACCCTCCACCCCCAGTTCGGAGCCCTGCCCCCCTGGGGCCGGGCCAAGCCCAGAGGCTGGCTTGGGATCCCATGGGGGACTGGTAGGGCAAAGGTCTTGGGGGACAGAGGTGGCTGGGCCAGAGCCCTGGGGCTCCGGCCATGAAGTCTCGGCAGAAAGGAAAGAAGAAGGGCAGCTCGAAGGAGCGGGTGTTTGGGTGTGACCTGCAGGAGCACCTGCAACACTCAGGCCAGGAGGGTAAGGAGGCCCCTTAGAGCTGCTGTTGGGGGTGGGGAGTGCGGAGCTTTTCCAGCCTGAGGGGCAGAAGCAGCTTCTGGGTGCTCCTGGAAAAGGGGCAGTGGCTTGGGATCACCACCCAGGAGGCCGATGAACAGGTAAGGCAGGACATGTGGCTCGGCGAAGAAGGCAGGGTAGCGGATGGGGAGGCTGAGGGGATGAGAATGGGAGCACCAAGGGAGCACTAAGGGGAGAGGATGGAGAGACTGGAGACCTGGAGAGGTAGAAGAAACAGAGGTGAGGGGTGACTACTGCGGACAGGAGAGGGAGGCTGAGGGGATAGGGTCAGGAGATGAGCAGCAGGAGGGGCAAGGGACAGTCCTTGGGCCTGAAAGAAAGGAGACAGGAGAAGGGCCCGGAGAGTCTGAGGATGGCACTTGGGAGGCGGGGGTTTCCTGGTTGGAGGAGAGGCAGGGACAAGGTTGCGGGGCTCTGGCCCCTCTGCAGACTTGCTGGGCCACAAGTGAGGATGTGGGTGGGGATAGCCCCCTCCTTCAGTCTCTGTGATTCTCTTGTTCTCCCTGTGCAAAGGAGAAACGGATTCAAAGTGGAGGGCCAAGGGAAAAGCTGCTGAAACGGGGAATACCAGAAGAGTAAGAGAGAGGGCTTGAGTCCTGGTTTGAAGATGAGGGTGGAGGGTGCATAGGAGAGTAGGTGTGGAGGCTGTCTGTGGGGCTTGCCCAGCTCCTTCCTGAGTTACTTTGGACGGGGCTTGGAAACCAGCAGGCCAGTGACAACATTGGGCTCATCCTTGCATGGAGTAGCCACTCAACAAATTTCTTGATTTGATTTGAAATTGAATGCAGGTATCCCAGCTGCCCAGCCCAGCTTGGTTTTGGCACTTCAAGCTCCTCCCAGAGAAGGGCACGATTCTTACCCCCCACCCCCACCCCACCCCAATCTGTCATTTCCTCTTTGTCCTCTGCTCTGGGCTGTGGTGCCTGCAGCGGAGGGAGGGTGATGGTGGTTCCCAGCTCATTTCCTGCTCTTAGCCCCGCCCCCAGGTCCCCAGACACCTCCTTCCCCTTTTCTCCTCCCCTAGAGGCCCCCATCCCCACTGGCCTCTGTTAAGGGAAAGCTAGGGCCCCAAGAAAGAGTGTTAAACATCTGAAGTGTCTTCTCTGTGCCTTTCTCTTCTCACTGGGCAGAACCCAGCTGCCAGTTCAGGGCTGACTCCTTTACAAGGAATTCCTCTTGAGAATGATGACTCTTGGCCAAGGCCCACATGATTTATTTGAAGCTAATGTTCTTCCCCCAGTTCTCTGCAAACCTTCAGTTCAGCCTCCTCATCCTGGTGCTGCCCTTCCCTGGGGCCCCCCTGCCAACCCCATGTTGAAACACTGAACCCACATCCAGCCCAGACCCCATTCCTGTAACCTTTCCTGGCCCCTGTCTGCATTCCCAGCTGGTGAGGGGCATGTTCTCTGGAAGGGATAGACATCTGGTTGCTGGGTCTTGATCCTAGTGCATCCCAGAGCAGGAGAGAAGCATCTCCTGCCCCTCATCAGAACCTCACAGGAGCCCCAGGGTGGTGTAATCTTGGGCACCAGTGCAGCAGTGGCAGCCATCTCCCCGTCCCCCAGCTCCTCCTGGCACAGACAGGTGGAGAGTGGAAGGACAAAGAGAGGCTGGTTACGGCTTCTCTCTTTAACCCAAGACCCAGCAAAAATGAAAGCCCACGCCAGTGGAGATCTGTGTGCCTGGTTAGTTTGTCCTCCCTGATTATCTTGGTTTCCCCTATCCTGACACCCTTGTTCCATCTCACTGCCCTCTCCCAGATCTTTGCCCCAGGTGGGTCTGCTCCTTCCCCAAGCCCTGTATGTATTGAGTCCTTCTTTTTCCTAATCATTATCTCTTTGTTATCTTGTTCAGGCTTCTGATTCTCCAGGTCCCCAAGCCTTGGGTCCTCCTCCCTGACCCACCCCCATTTCCTTGATGTCTCCATCCCTTTGACTCCATCACCTCAATCCTGTCTCTAACTTTTACCTCTGACCCCATCTCTCTGATCTCTATCTCCTTGACTCCCCTATCTCTCTGACCCTGTTATCTCTTCCCTCATCTCCTTGACTCATTTCCTCTATCGCTCTGACTCCTTAGGCTCTCAAATCCCTTCTTTAAGGGCCTTTTCTGGAGGTTCAAAATCAACAGAGAAGGACAGGATAGAGAAGATCTGGCTTGGTTGCAGTTCATGTGAAAAGGACCTGGGGTTTAGGTGACAGTGGACTATTTATGAGTCAACTGAGAAATGCGGTGGCCAAAAGAGTTGGTGTAGCATTAGGCACCCAAGAGTAGAGCAGCAAGGAGGACCTGCCCCATCTCTGCATTCAGTGCTGGGAACCTGAGGTCGGGAGACCCTGGCAAATGGGCACAGGTCCTGAAGGGATGGATGGCAACCTGTAGGGCCAGGTCTAAGGTGAGGCAAGAGAGGTGACTGGGGTGCAAAATTTAAGGAAGCTGTCATTCTCAAGGCTGGGCAAGTGCCCTAGGTGCCTCTTTCTTAAGGAGGCGTTCACTGTCAAGATCGTGCATGTGCACAGTTGCCACTTGTGCAACCCTAAGAGTGAGTGCTATCTTAAATTATGCACCCTTGGTGCTGCCTTTGTCTCCCCCAAGTCCTCGCTCTGGGGTGCAGGAGGGCAAAGGATGTGGACACCAGGTCATATGAGGAGGGTTTAAAATGGATTTATTGATTATTTCCTTCATTCCATATTTCCATCTTACTTAATTCCATGGGCTTGGGATGGATGACTTCCAAAACACAAAACTTTACAAAAAGATAGAATAAATGACTGAAGGAATTGGGTTGAAGGGAAAGCAAGAGGAAGGGTAAGATCAGTACCCAGAAATGCATATCAAGTAGTTTTCTATGGTTCCTAGATGTGGGATCTGAGCTTCTAGTGGTTAAAGTAAAGAAGTAAACACAATTAGGCAGAAGACTTATAAAGCCCATAAGAAAACAAAAAGATGGCTTAGAAGTAACAAAGCTTTTCTGACACTGACACATGAGATGGATTTCTCTGGTGAGTCTCAGTTAATAGGACTCAATGTTTTGTCTTAGGCAATATTGTTTATGAAATCTCCAAGGGATGTCACCAATCCTCATAATTGATTGATTAATTCATTGAGTCATTTAATAAACATTTATTGGGCACCTGCTCTATTTCAACACTGTGCTAGATGCTGGAGAGGATGTTACTATTTGTCAGAAGGTATAGATACAAAAGAAACTAATCGTAACAAAATGTAACAAGTACTATAACACGGATATAAACGAAGGACTGTAGGAACCATAAGAAGAGATGAGCAAAGAGTTCAGAATTGGAGGTGAAGTTTGAGGTGCGTTTTGAAGAATGCATAGGAGTTCACCAGGCAGAGAAAGAGGGGAGGGCATTTCAGGCAAGGGAATAACAGGAGTGATGGTACCAAGGCTTGTTCATGGAGTAGCAAAGGACTAGATCATAGGACTCTTTGGGGAGTTGGTTGGAGCTGAGGCTGGAATGGCAGCTGGACCAGATTTGTGAAGGGTCTTATATACTATGCTTAGGAGATTATATTTTATTCTGTATTGGTAAGGTAAGCAATGAAGTTTGGGTGGATGAGGGTGTATATGCAGCAAAGGACTTGAAGCAGGGAAGTGCTTAGATACAACTATGTGGCCTTGTGGAGGTGGGATTCCACACACGGTTTTTGAGAGTGTCCCATGTCTGAGACACCATGTCAGATAATATGAGGAATATCAAGACGGGTCACACTTTGATCTTGTCCTTAAGGAGCTTACAGGTTAGTCACAGGGGATGGGGTCTGGAGTTGGGAGACATAATACAGCTTTTTGCACTCTTGGATTTGAAGACTGACTCTAGCTGGGTGATACTGGGCACCCGTTACTTCTTTGATCCTCAGTTTTCTTGCCTGTAAAATGGGGACTAGAATACCTAATGCACAGTCTTGACACATAGGTGCTTCTCTCCTGAACTGACCTATTTGAAAGTCTGTCACAATTTTGTGTACCTTCCCATGACAGATCTAATATCCATGCACTTGCTTACCAGAGGGGGTGCTTCACAATAATCCCCAGCAGCCCTGTTCCAAGTTGGTTGGGACAACTGATGTTCCTTTATTTTATGTGAAGTATTATATAAATGCACTTTCAAGACCAGCCCTTTACCCTGAGTCCCCTTCCAACCAGATTGCTGCCCCTTTAAAAATTCTGGAGTAGCAACTAGTAATTACAGAGAGACAAATTTTGGTTCAACAAAGGCAGAACTTTCTAACAGGAATGCGCATTGTGGAGAGGCAGTGAGCTCCTCCTCCTTCAGGGGTTTATGCCGAGGCTCCAGACCCAATGGGCAGAGATATTGTAGAGGGGTGGCAGGCTGGAGCTGATGCCCCATAAGGATCTTTCTGTCAAGTTTTTATTCTGTGAGCTTTGTCCCCAAACCTCCTTCCCTGATGCTTCCATTTCCCTGACCCCCTGTGGTCTCTGACCTCCCGGACCTTCTGATTTCTCTTTCTCTGCCCCATCTGTGTCCCCAGTGCCCCAGGTGCTAAGGAGCTGTGCAGAGTTTGTGGAGGAGTATGGAGTGGTGGATGGGATCTATCGCCTCTCAGGGGTCTCCTCCAACATCCAGAAGCTTCGGTGAGTCAGGCAGTGCGGGGAAGGCTCTGTGGCCAGAAGGTCAGGGAGCCAGAGTGGTGAGGGGACATGGGGAGAAGGAAACATAGATGCTAGGTACTAAGGGAGGAGCTCTAGAGTCTCCTCAAGAAAGACTGAGACCATGAACCTCACTCCCCTAGGCTAGTGCACGCACACACACAGACCCCTCCACTCCCACATACACCACTCTCACATACACCCACTTAGCATTTTAAAAAATTTAGATATGAATCACATACCATACAATTCACCATTTAAAAATGTACAATTCAGTGGTTTTTACTGTATTCACAGGTTGTGCAACCATCACTACTATCTAATTCTCTATGTCTCTTCTGAACATTTCGCATACATGGAATCATATCGTTGTAATGTTTTGTGTCTGGCTTTTTTCACTTAGCATGTTTTCATGGTTCCTGCATGTTGTTGTATGCACCACTTGTTGAATGTACCAGTACTTCATTTCTTTTTATGTCTGAATAATATTCCATTATATGGCTATACCACACTTTGTTTATCCATTCATCAGTTGATGGCTATTTGGGTTGTTTCCACCTTTTGGCTGTTATAAATAATGTTGCTGTAAACATTCGTGTACAAGTATTTGTGTGCACATATGGTTTCAATTCTCTTGAGTATGTGCTTAGGAGTGGAATTGCTGGATCATATGGTAACTCTCTGTTGAATTTTTAAGGAACTGCCAAACTGTTTTCCATAGCAGTTGCATCATTTTACATTCCCATCAGCAATGTATGAGCATTTCAATTTCTTCATATCCCTGCCAACACTTGTAACTGTGTGTCTTTTTATTATAGCCATCTTAATGGGTGTGAAGTGATATCTCATCTATATTTGCATTTCCCTAATAGCTAATAATATTGAATATCTTTTCATGTGCTTATTGGTCACTTGTATATTTTCTTTGGAGAAATGCTATTCAAATTCTTTGCCCATTTTTTAATTAGGTTGTCTTTTTTGTGTTATAAGAGTTCTACATATATTCTGGATATTAGGCCCTTATTAGATCTACGACTTGCAAATATTTTCTCCCATTCTGTGGGTTGTCTTCATTTTCTTGATAGTATCCTTTGACAGAGAAAAGTTTGTAATTTTATGTTCAATTTGTCTATCTTTTCTTTGTTTGCTTGTGCTTTTGAAGTCTTAACTAAGAAACTGTTGCCTAATCCAAGGTCATGAAGATTTACACTTATGTTTCCTTCTAAGAGCTACACTCATCCATCTTCACATGTACGCAGAAACACACATTTAGTCTCCTCTCCCGTACTTCTACTGACTCCTACACACCCCTACGTTGCTTCTCACACATGCAGCCAGCTCTCTGACATGCATCCCTGTTCATGCACAGATCCACTTACCTGTCCACCTACCCTTCCTCACATCCACTCTACATGTCAACATATACAACGCCTTATACTTGCTGCCTCATGTTTATACTCGCCCCAATGTTCTCCTTCCAAGTCCCACGCATGTTGACCCTTGACCCTGCCTGGAATCCATCTCTACAGCTCCCACCTCTCCCCCATTTCCCCTGACTCCCACCACTCCTGACCACTCTGCACCTCCCCAGGCAGGAGTTTGAGGCAGAGCGGAAGCCAGACCTGCGGCGAGATGTTTACCTCCAGGACATTCACTGTGTCTCCTCCCTGTGCAAGGCCTATTTCAGAGAACTGCCAGACCCCCTGCTCACTTACCGGCTCTACGACAAGTTTGCTGTGAGTTGAGAGGCAGGGGGGTGGAAAAGAAGGCTGAGGGGGTGGCTGCTCTGGTTTTGACATCCCAGGTGTGTCCAATGCCAGACAGAGTCCTAGTGATCCTGAATGACAGAGACCACATGGAAATGAAAAGACCTCTCCCCCACAAACCTCCTAGCCCCACAACCTCCGCCCTCCCCTGTCCCTCTTCTCTTCATTCTCCCTCCTTTCCCCAAGGTCTGCAGATCGCACACAGCACAGGGGTGAGACGGGGAGACTAGAGGCCAGGTGGTCAGAGCTGGAAGGCCCTTAGGAAATCACCTAGACCAGAGCTTCCCTACATTTAAGAAAAGGAAAATCCTTTTTAGAAGTCAAAACTTTTTCAAGCATGCCCCTCCATGAGCTGAAGATCTTTTGAGTAAGAAAACAAATGACAAAAATGCTATCCTGAATTGAGTAACACTTTTTAAATAAGCCGCATTTTATTGCGCACAGCAGCATGTAGAGATCCTGAGCAGCAGCTACATGCCATTCAGCCCACACAGGCTGGTATGGGCGGGCATAGGCCTTCCTGGACACGTTGGGATAACTCCACAGCCCCTGGGGCACCCACAGGGTAGGACCACTTGATGTATTCCAGCACCAGGTTGTTACCGATGAGGATGCTAAGGCAGAGAGTGGCAGTGAGTTGCTCAAGGTCACAAAGCTATTCAGTGGTATAGCCAAGATTCAGCTGCAGGTCTTGTGGGCCCCATATTCTGAGCTCTCTCTGTCAGGGCACTTTGGAAGACCTGTGGTGAGGGATGTGTGGGGTACAGCACACATTGTTCCTGAGAGTTTGGCTCAGAGCTCTGGGGAGTGGGCAAGCGCACTGCTGGGTCACTGACTCCTGCTTCTTGAACCCTTCCCCCTAATCAGGAGGCCGTGGCAGTGCAATTGGAGCCTGAGCGCTTGGTCAAGATCCTAGAAGTGCTTCGAGAACTCCCTGTCCCAAACTACAGGTGTGTGGGGCTCCTCCCCACCCAGAGTCCTGATTCCCCACACAGCCCAGGCTCTCTCTCCACCTGGGGCCTTGACTTGTCCCTTCTCTTCCAGCTCCCGGGTCCCAGCCCTACTCCTGCCCTGGGTGTTCCCTGTGTGACCCCTGCCCCATGACACCCCCTTTCTGCAGGACCCTGGAGTTCCTCATGCGGCACTTGGTGCACATGGCCTCATTCAGTGCCGAGACCAACATGCACGCCCGCAACCTGGCCATCGTGTGGGCCCCAAACCTGCTGAGGTGGGCACGTGCGTGAGCAGTGTGTGGGGATCCTGACAGAGACTAGCCCCAGGAGGCTACTCCAGGATGGGGTGTGGCTGTGTGGGTGCACTGGAGAGAGGCATGGGGTCTCATGGAGCCCAGTGAGAAAGAGGAAGGTTCACGATTACATTGAGTGAGATGGGCTCACCCACCTGAGCCCCTTCTCTGAGCTTGAGTAAAGGCCCTAAGGGCAGGGTTTTTGAGTTTTCTTACATTGTATATGAGCTCAGGGACTGGAACAGGACAGGTCCTTGTCAAATGTTTGTTGAGCAAATGTCTTGCAGTCTATGGGAGAACTGGCCTGCATATCACTTCCTGTGGTGCAAGGTGGACTATGAGAAGTCCTGATATTCATTATAAACAAGGCACCCTGGTGTGCAAAGGAAGTAGAGCTTAATCCTGAGGAGGGCCTGGAGGCTTCCTGGAGGAAATGGCATTTGAGACTTGAATCATGCATATGGTTTAAGAGGGGGAGGTGGGGTCAAGGGCATGCAGGGGAAACGGTATAAGGTACTTTTAGGGAGAAGTCAGATGGGGAAGTGTGGTGGGTCCAAGGGGAGAACAACTCCACGTCTCCACAGGTCTAAGGACATAGAGGCCTCAGGCTTCAATGGGACAGCAGCCTTCATGGAGGTGCGTGTGCAATCCATCGTCGTCGAGTTCATCCTCACGCATGTGAACCAGCTCTTTGGGGGCGCTGCCCTCTCTGGTCAGTGTCCTTCTTGCCCACCACATCACCACTCTTTGTCTGGGGAGTCATGTCAGAGTTATAGAGGGCCTGAAAGATCATCTAGCTCAGTCTCCCCGTTTTGCAGATGAGAAAACAGAGTCTTATAGAGAGATGTTGCTTATGGTCACATGGAGAAGACCCTGGAGAGATAATGGTGCAGTCAGGACTTAAGCAGTCCTCTTCTGCTCTCAGTCCAGGGTGTAACTTGACCTATTAATCATTGTCCTGGCTCTCAAGGCTAGTGACTGATCATTCCACCCCCAGCCCACCAGGCCAATGTCCTGGGATCTCCTTGCCCTCTTTGCTCCTGAGGACTCCCTCTTGAGGAGCTAGACATGGAGGGTGTGTCTCCAGAGGTCTCTGAGTATATCCCTAACAGGGTAGTTGGTGAGTGGGAGGGTACAATGAGGAGCTGGGTACCTGAGGGCCCTCTCTCATCTCTGTTCCTGGCTGGCCAATACTTCTTTTTTCCTAGGTGGTGAGGTGGAGAGTGCATGGCGATCACTTCCGGGGGCCCGGGCATCAGGCAGCCCTGAGGACCTTATGCCCAGGTCCCTGCCCTACCACCTGCCTAGCGTCCTGCAGGCTGGCGATGGCCCCCCACAGATGCGGCCCTACCACACTATCATTGAGATTGCAGAGCACAAGTAAGGCCTCCTTCCTGGACGCTCCTCCCCTGCACTGACCACCAGGCCTCAACCCCAGTGATTTCTCTATTCCCTCCAGGAGGAAGGGGTCTTTGAAGGTCAGGAAGTGGAGATCTATCTTCAATCTGGGTCGCTCTGGCCATGAGACCAAGCGTAAACTTCTGCGGGGTGCTGAGGACAGGGGTAAGTCTGGGGAGATGTACGGGGAGCTCTGCTGAGGGTGTGCCAGGCCCTGGCTCTATAAGCATCCCTGTCTTGCAGAGGACAAATCCGATAAGGGGACTCTGCGGCCAGCCAAGAGCATGGACTCACTGAGTGCTGTGGCTGGGGCTAGTGATGGTGAGTATAGGTGTGCACTCCTGTGTATGTGTGTGTGTGTGGGTGTGTGTGTGCCTGTGAGCATCTGTGTGGGAGCATGTCTGTGGATGTGTCTGCACGGGAGTAACAGTATTATGGAGGACACCACTGTGTGCGCATTCCTGTGTGTGTGTGTGTGTGTGTGTTTGTATGTGTGGCCAAGTGTGCTCACTAATTTCAAAAGTATGTAATGAGTCCCTATTATACACTAGCCACAGTGCTGGATGCTAGGTTTACAGTGGTGAGCTTATTTAATCTATGGATGTGTTCATATGAGTGTACATAGAGGGACAGGGTGGTGCATGTGTGTGTGTGTTGGGGGCAGTAGTGATGGCCAGTGACTATATCTGCAGGGAGGGAAGGGGGTTTCTAGGACTGTGTAGGTGCGATGATCTTTAACCTGCTGGCTGTGAAGGGTCTGCAGTAGCGGTCAAGGAAAGCTGGGCCTGGTGCCTCCCAGGCTGTCCTTCCTCTCATGCTCGAGAAAGCAGGGGTCATTCTCCAGAGCCTTCCTGAGGTGTCCAGGCCCCTTGCCGCTGAGGCTATTGCCTACCTTTCTCTCCTCCACAGAGCCAGAGGGGCTGGTGGGACCCAGCAGCCCTCGGCCAAGCCCGCTGCTGCCGGAGAGCTTGGAGACTTACTCTGTGGAGGCAGCAGAAGGTGAACAGGAGCCTGAGGCAGAGGCACTGGGTTGCACGAGCTCTGAGCCAGGCACACCACGAGCTGGGCGGTCAGCGATCCGTGCTGGGGGCAGCAGCCGTGCAGAGCGCTGTGCTGGTGTCCACATATCAGATCCCTACAATGTCAACCTTCCACTACACATCACCTCTATCCTCAGTGTGCCCCCAAACATCATCTCTAACGTCTCCTTGGCCAGACTCACTCGTGGCCTTGAGTGCCCCGCCCTACAGCCCCGGACAAGCCCTGCCTCTGGCCCTGGCCGTGGCCCCGGCCCCCCAGGTGAGGACCCAAGGAATACCCAGGATTAGGAGAGGGGACTAGAACTCTAGGCTGAAGCTCTGATGCTGGGGATCTGCCCTGGGAAGGGCAGAGGCCTCAGCCCTGGGGCTGAGTTTTACTTTCAACTGCCTCCCTGGATTTGCGGTTGGGGGAATCCAGTAATATTATCAGATTGTGTGAAATTCACGGGGAGAGGATCTCTGGCAGCCTTCAGATCACTGATATACCCAAGAATGGGGGTCTGTGTCAGACACATATAGCAGGGATTACTATGTACAAGGTGGGAATATATAATAGATGATGGTAATAACAATAATAACATTAATACTAATAGCTAACAATTATCAAGGGCTTACTATGAGCCAAGTGCTGTGTTAAGGACTTCGCAGGCATTAGCTTATTTCATTTTCTCATAATCTCATGACACAGGTATGGTGGTTATCCTTATGTTACAGCAGTGGAACCTGAGACCTAGGTTAAGCAATTTGCTATTAATTTAGGTAGGAGGTGGTGGAGGTGGGATCTGATCTTTGCTCTGACTCCGGTTCCTGAAGTGTCACTGATGAGAAGTACCAAGGCAGCACAGGGTAGTGGGTAAGGATGTGGGCTACAGAGTTAAGTAGACTTGAGTTGAAATTTTGGCTGTGCCACTTACTGTTTTGGTGATCTTAGACAAATCTCTCTGAGTCTCAGCTTTCTCAAATGTAACATGGGGATAAAACCCCTATATTATAGGGTTGTTTTGTGGGGGAAATAAGATAATGCATTGTAAAATATATAGCAAGGTGCTTGGCACCTGGTGGGAGCTCAGTAAAGGCAGCTATGAGCCAATAGTTAGGGACATTGGTCTGAAAGGATCAGCCACATGGAGCATCTATGCTGGGAGTACCAGGGCCATATTGTAGCAATGCTAGGAAGACCCACATTGGAAAGGGTCAGGGCTGGTCTTGACCTTTGTATTCCTGGGACACCTCTCTCTCAACAGATGAGAAGTCGGAGGCAAGTCCAGTCCCAGGTCCCCTGGCTGACTCAGGCCCAGCGGACGTGGCCCCTGCCCTGGAGGACTGCCTGTCCCAGGAGGTGCAGGATTCCTTCTCCTTCCTAGAGGACTCAAGCAGCTCAGAGCCGGAGTGGGTGGGGGCGGAGGATGGGGAGGTAGCCAAGGCAGGAGCAGCAGGAGCAGCCTTCTCCCCTGGGGAGGACGACCCTGGGATGGGCTACCTGGAGGAGCTCCTGGGAGTTGGGCCTCAGGTAAGGAGGAGCTGTGCTGGGTTTGGGGGTGGTAAGAATCCAGAGGGTGGACAGGGCCACCTGGTCCTGAGCCATAATGTGTGTCTACAGGTGGAGGAGTTCTCCGTGGAGCCGCCCCTGGATGACCTGTCTCTGGATGAGGCGCAGTTTGTCCTGGCTCCCAGCTGCTGTTCCCTGGACTCTGTTGACCCGGGGCCCGAAGCAGAGGAAGAAAGTGGGGAGGAAGTCTTCCTGAGTGCCTATGATGACCTAAGTCCCCTTCTGGGGCCCAAATCCCCAACCTGGGAGGGTCCAGGCAGTCTAGAAGAAGAGGTAGCAGCATGTGAAAGACAGGAGGCTCTAGGAAAGGCTGAGGGAGAGCAAGCATGCTGGGAAGTTGGAGAGGATACAGAAGCTGAGCCTGGAAGCAGATGGGATATCAGGGAGGAGGCTGAGGGGAGTCCAGAGAGTGAGGTGGAGGATGGAGAGGCTGGTGAGAAAGAAAGGGAGGCTAGGGGAAGCCAAGAGATGATGGCCCACTTGAGAGAAGAGAGTGGAGAAGAGAAAGAGGCCAAGAGAGAGGAGTCCAAGGGTCAGTGGGAGGATGAGAGTATGGAAGAAGCTAAGAGTGTAGAGGAAGTAGGAGGAAGGCAGGGTAAAGACAAGGAGAAGGAAAGAAAGACTGAGAGAGAGGAAGAGGCTAAGGAAGGAGAGGAAGCCCAGGTAGAAGCTGGAAGGGACCCAGAGCACAGGGCCCGCGAAAACCAAGTTGCTGAGGAGAGCTGGGAAGTCGTACACAAACAAGAAGCTGACGGAGGCAGAGAGGATGAGGTCAAGGGACAGAGTGGGGATGGGGACCAAGAGGCAAGAGAAGACCAAGGAGATGGTGAAGATAGCAAGAGCCCGGACGCAGCAGCTGAAGGAGGAGTAGGGGAGGTGAGCAAGGAACGAGAGAGTGGGGATGGAGAGGCTGAGGGAGACCAGAGGGCTGGAGGTGACCATTTAGAAGAGGCCTCCCTCCCTGAAGGGTCACATGTAGAGTCCCTGGAGGTTGATAGTGCCAAAGAGGGCAATGCCCAGTCCTCTGAGACAGAACAGGCAGTCCCACAGCCACCCCGGCCAGAAGAGATGGAGCCTGAGGGGCAGCCCAGTCCAGAGGGCTGCAATCTGTGCCCCTGTCCCTTTGGCTCAGCTGGAGGTGTGGGCATGCGCCTGGCTTCCACCTTGGTTCAGGTCCAACAGGTCCGCTCTGTGCCTGTGGTGCCCCCCAAACCACAGTTCGCCAAGATGCCCAGTGCAATGTGTAGCAAGATCCATGTGGCACCAGCAAACCCATGCCCGAGGCCTGGCCGGCTTGATGGGACTCCTCGGGAAAGGGCTTGGGGGTCCCGAGCCTCCCGATCCTCTTGGAGGAATGGGGGCAGTCTTTCCTTTGATGCTGCTGTGGCCCTGGCCCGGGACCGCCAGAGGACTGAGGCTCAGGGAATTCGGCGAACCCAGACCTGTACTGGGAGTGAGGACTACAGCCTCAACCCCAGAACCTCCCCCTGTAGCATGATCCCTGCTCATTCTCTTCGGCCCTTTAGCTGCCTGGAACTCCAATCTGAAGGCACAGAAGGGTCTGGACCCCGGAGTCGGCTTAGTCTTCCCCCCAGAGAACCACAGCCCCCTGACCCCCTTACGCCCCCCCAGCGCCGATCCTATGCATTTGAAACACAGGCTAACCCTGGGAAAGGTGAGAGACTGTGATTAGGACCAGAGTACTGGGCAAAGGGGACAGTAAGTTGTCTTGAATCTCTGGGGTCCCTGACTAGCTGTCTCTTCTGCAGCCCGAGCAGCTATAGTGCCCAACTCTATAGGCTTTGGCCCTCCAGCTTCTCTTTTTGACTGTGGGAGGCACTGCCTTGGTTGGTTTACCTGAGCTTATCTCAGACACAAAGCACTTATCCTTTAGGAGATTCCCAAGCAAGTCACCAAGATCCTGTTCCCAGAGAGTGAGGTCATTGGCCAAAGGGAACAAAGAGCAGGCAGAAAACTTAGAGGTTTCTCAAAGTGAAGAAAGAAGGGGGAACTCCAGCGAAGTTCCTGCCCTCCTCTGAGGCTGTGAACTTCTCTTCATGCAAGCCCAGGGTGGAGGTGGGGAGGACAGGGCCAGGTCAGAGACTATTACACCCAAACAGTTCTAGAGCTTCCCATCCTTGTTCTGCTCTTGGGCTCTTGGATACCTCCTGACCCTCTTAGCTCCACACTAGGAGGAACATGTCCAGAAAGCTCTTTGAAGCCCTCGGTGTTTGTTGGAGGGACTGACCCCCTTTCCAGCTCCTCCACCCTCTGCCTCTGGTCACATTAAGGATGAGAGGTCCTGTACAGATCTCTCTGGCCTCTCCTTTTTCCTTTGGAATAACTTCCTCCTATTTCAGGGAAGGGAAATGGAGTCACTAAGGCTCTGGGACTGCTTCTCCAGATAGGCTGGGGCTACAGGTCCCATTCTAGTAAGGGGTGATGTCTCAGAATAAAAGTTGTACTTTTACATGTAAATAGTGTGAAGTCTCATTATTCTTATTAAAGTCTCCGGTGATAGGTATCACATTTTCATAAGTTTGGCCAATCGTTGTCTTCTACTTTTGTTGTTTGTCTGCTCTTCCTCAGTTGTTGTCATGGAGACCTGTGGCTAGAAACTAGAGCTGGGTTCATGGTGGTGAGGAAATGGGGAAGAGAAACTTATATTTACATAATGCTCATTATGTGCCAGTAAAGGCTAGGTAGTCTACGTGCATAGAATCTATGCCCTTGATTTTATTCAGTCCACCTAACAATTCTGTAAGGTTGGTACTGGTACCTCCACTTTACAGATGAGGAAACTAAAGCTAATTAAGTCAAAGGTTTGCCAAAGATCTCAGAGGTAAGAAGTGGCAGAGAAAGGTCTGAGACCCGAGTTTGTCTCGCTCCAGAGTCTGAACTCTTCCCATTACACCACACTACTCCAAATCCATTAAGGGTAGGTCCTGACTGAGAAGAATGGGAATAAGGATCCCTCTCACAGAAACTGAGCGTCACAAAAACTGGAGGCCTTGGAGGTCTCTGGGAGAGTGATTGCTGACGCTAATACAAAGGAACACACCCAGATCTATGTATGCCTAGATATGTCCCAATTTCCAATAGGAGACACTTCAAAAAGGTGTCCTGATCCAAGACGGCCTCCCAAATAGCCCTTGTTAAAGATGGCGCCTCCGTCCGACGTCCCTCCCTTGCTCTAAGCTGGCCTCATTCCTTTTTCCTTGAACTAAAATGGCCGTGTCCAGCAGAAAGACAGCACAACTTAGTCGACTTTCTCCCGTTCTTGCAGAAACAGACCAGGCCTTCAGCGTCATTCCCCCACGGTCCCGGCAAATTGCTTCTTCCCGACCCCAGAGACGCCCCCAACTCCGCACCTACAGCCCCTATCAAGATGGAGCGAACGGAAGTGGTGCGGCTCAGAGGCTCAGTGGGCTGGGCGGGTCAACAGAGACACTTCCGCCCCTCACCAACATGGCCGCGGACTGGAAGTGCGCATGAGCAGCTGTTCATGGAGATACCCAGGTCCGGAGAGGGAGAATACGGTCGGGGAAAATTGGCGGCTGGGGCGGCCGTGGCCGGTGAGTGCAGGACCGGACGGAGTCTGGAGACTGGATGCGCCGGCAGGGCGGGGCAACCTTGATTTTGTTTCAGTTTTTCAGGTTAGGGCACTCCTGGGGAGGAAGCCTTTGTTTTGAGGGACGGGGCCGTGCCCGGTTCTTTACCTCCTACCCCTCTTTGTGGGCCGAACTCACTCCCCGCCCCCGAGCGCGCACGTCCCCGCCCTCCTGCGCTGCCAGCCGCGGGCCGGGGACCCCGGGGCCGCCGAGCCCGGGGCTGGCTTTCCTGCCTCCTCTGGGGAGCAGCGCGGGCGCGGGGTGAGCGCAGCGGGGCTGGCCGGGTCACGGCGTGGGCTCCCGGGATCGCGCCTGGCCGCCGGTCAGCGGCTAAGCGCCTGCTGGTTGGTGGGCCTGCAGGGAGACGGCGCATTCTCAGGCAAGATCTAGGCGCCTGACTTCTTTCGAGACTTGAGTATTTTTCCCTTTGTGTCCACCCTTAGCAAGGACTCTGGCTGGGCCTTCCCTCGCCTGAGGGTGCACGCCACAACATCCTATCCCGGTTTCCGTGTCGCATATCCCTAATGCTCAGAAAATGCTTCCGGATGTCCAACTAAGATTTGAATAAGTAGCCTAACCCCGTTGCTGGGTGTCCTCACCCAGAAGCTGCTCCTAGCTGACAGCTGTGGGCAATAGAGAAGCCTCCTGTGCCCTGCCCTCTTTCATTGCCTCCTCCTGCAGGCAGCGCGTCAGGTCTGGAGGGGCACTTCCTCCGCAGGTTTGAGGATGGAGAGGTAGGTGGTCCCGAAACGCTAGTGCTACTTCCCCTTAGGGACTGGGATCTTCTTGCAACGCTACTTCCTCCGGACAGTTTCACTTTCAGTTCCCCCCCCCCTTTTTTTTTCGGTTAACACTTTCTTTGGATACGGGCTTTCCAAGGCTCATCTGCTGAAGATTTTCCTTGAATAAGAAAGGTTTGGGGGACTTTATGGGTAGAGAATTTAAAAAAAAATCTCACCTCTTTCGTGTCGGGATTACCTTATTGCTTTGTACTATGTAGCTGTTTCTTTCCGGAGGCATATCTGCTCGGCCCTTGGTTTTTCCTGTCCTCTGGTTGGGTGTCAGGGTCCTAAGGCAGGCACCTTGTAGATGGATTCCTCCCCCATTGTCTCTTCTTCGAAACCCTGAGCCTGGAGTTTTTTCCCTTCTTGCTGAGGCTCAGTTGATTTGGAGTTGTCATGGCAACATTTTAGCAACTGTGTTGTTCTACAGGAAGGCTCGGTGAATAAAATAGAAGGCTTGAAGATGATACACTTGGGCTTTAGGGTCTTTAACAAATGACATAAATCTGGACACCCCAAAACTAGAGCCCTGTCAGTAGAATGGGGAATGAGGCCCAAGGTCTCATAGACAGTGGTGGTCTAAACATGGCCCTTCCTAATCCCCATGATATGGCAGATCATAAAAGCTTTAATAATAATTCATGCCGAAATACGTTGTTTCTCAGTTTTCCAGTATAATTATCCCCTCTCCACCAGGAGTTGGGTGATAACGGAGGGGTGAAGAACACTGTTTGTAGAGTTGCTTTTTCAATCACTGTAGCCCTCAGCATCATAATGGAGGAAGCTGACTGTCCCCTGCAGATGATTGGGTTATGTTCCTGGCTGTGTCTGCATGGAGCCAAGGTTCTAGAAACGGGGGCTGTTCAGTTTCCTAGACTCACTGCAGACTCCCTGATTTCTACCAGGACTTAGCACTCAGGTCTGAGAGGCAGGAGATACGAAGACTTCCAAAGAAGGACCAGTTCCTCGGATGTGCCCCCTCACAGAGAGATGAAGGGGTGAGTGAAGAAGAGGTAGGGTCTGGGATGGGAGATGGGAGGCCTGGGAGAGTACAAAATGCCTAAGAGCACTGGCTCTGAAGTCAGGCAGACCTAGATTCAGGCCCTAGCTCCATCACTTACTAGCTGGGTGATTTGGTTTCCCATCTATAAAATGCAAGTAGCACTACCTACCTCCTAGTGCTGTTCTTAGTATTCAGTAAGATAGTGCCTGTTAAGTGCTTAGCTAGTGCCCATGTATACAGTAAACACTCAGGAAATACTACCTGTTTTTCTAACCTAACCTACATCTATTGGGAATGCCAATGAGTTTGAGAGCCATATGTTACTGGGCCAGTGAGCTTTTCTTTTACTTCTCCCCTTATTCTTCCTTTTGTCCCTTCACAAACAGGCAGCAGAAAACAGCTGAAACGGAAGAGGGGACAGTGCAGATTCAGGAAGGTGAGTGGTAGAAACAGACCTGAGACCAAGAGCCCATTGTGGCCTCTCCCCCTCCCCCATCGGCCCATCTCCTGTGCACCCTTCTCCTTTTGAATGGCATGCAAGTGGAACAGAGGGAGAAAGGCAGTAACTCACAGACTTTTCTTTTGCTCTTTTAATTCAGGTGCGGTGGCAACTGGGGAGGACCCCACCAGTGTGGCTATCGCCAGCATCCAGTCAGCTGCCACTTTCCCTGACCCCAACGTCAAGTACGTCTTCCGAACTGAGAATGGGGGCCAGGTAAGGGAGGGGGCCAGGTGGCTGCAGGTGTTACCTGGGGTTGGGATTGAGGGAGGTAATCAAACCTGTCGTGGGGAGACCTGGCTTGGAGGATGAGGTGAAAATGTGGACTGTTGGTGGGGTGACTTAGAGTAAGAGGTTTGGAGTAGAGAGTGGGGTGGGGTAGGGGCTATGCTGAAACCTCTGTATGGATAAAGAAGGGGAAATGGCTGAATCTATGTCTCTGAAGGACTCTTGTTTTGGGACCCTACTCAAGAAGCTTTATGAGGGGCCCTGAGATCCCCAGTACTTACTCTCTTATTCTCTCTTCCTCTCCTTCCCCTTTCCTCCCTGCTTCTAGGTGATGTACAGGGTGATCCAGGTGTCTGAGGGGCAGCTGGATGGCCAGACTGAGGGGACTGGCGCCATCAGTGGCTACCCTGCCACTCAATCTATGACCCAGGTACAGGGGTATGGGCTGGGGAGGGGACTAGAGCTCTGAGTAGTAAGATGAAGAAGGGAATCAATAGGATGGGGGTGAGGCTAGAGATGGTGAGGAATCTAGGCTGCCTTGTTCCAAGGCACTAGGTTCTCCGTTTCTGGATATTTCTCCCCCAAGGGATAGAAGCTGCAGAGTAGTTCAGTGGGAAGTATCTGACTGTCACTAGACTCTGTTTTCTTGCTCCCCTTCCCAGGCGGTGATCCAGGGTGCGTTCACCAGTGATGATGCAGTTGACACAGAGGGGACAGCTGCTGAGACGCACTATACTTACTTCCCCAGCACTGCAGTGGGAGATGGGGCAGGGGGTACTACATCGGGGAGTACAGCAGCTGTTGTTACTACCCAGGGCTCAGAGGCACTACTGGGGCAGGCGACCCCTCCCGGCACTGGTGAGATATTGTGTGAGGATGCTGGCTGGAGGGGCTAGGACAGGCTGTGGGACACGTCTGGTGGGCAGTGGGCCTTTACTCATGACCCTTTAATGATCAGTAAGACCTGAGCAGGCAGTGAGTCTGGGGCTGCCCTTCTAACAGGAGGAAGTACGTCCTTTTTAGAGGAGGGTCCCAGGCCCCTGGCCTCAGAGCTTGGGGAGGTTCCTAGGCCCATGTCCTGACAGAACCTGCCCTGCATCTTCACAGGTCAGTTCTTTGTGATGATGTCACCACAAGAAGTGTTGCAAGGAGGAAGCCAGCGCTCCATTGCCCCCAGGACCCACCCTTATTCCCCGTGAGTAACCCTTGTTTCTTCTCAGTTACCATGAGTGGTCTTGATCCCTGCCAAATCTTGTGTAATTCCTTATCCCAAACTCCAATCTTATTTTCTGTCCTTCCTTCACTCTGGCCACCCTGGGCTCTGTTGTTAGGAAGTCAGAAGCTCCCCGGACGACTCGGGATGAGAAACGCAGGGCTCAGCATAATGAAGGTAGGTACGATCTGGATGTGAAGCTAGCAACTGTCTGGTGGGACTGGGGACAGCAGTGATGTCTGAGGCAGGGGAGGTTAGGTCATTTTACATGGGCCTATGGTGAGTTCTCACTGAGTCACCTTGTCCTCCACTTTGCCCTACAGTGGAGCGCCGCCGCCGAGACAAGATTAACAACTGGATTGTGCAGCTGTCTAAGATCATCCCAGACTGCTCCATGGAGAGCACCAAGTCTGGCCAGGTCATGGAAAGACCCTGGTAGTGGGCAGGATGCCTGAATTCTGTCTCCTGGTATTGCTTCCAGAAATGGTAGAGAGGGGACGCACATGGCAGTAGTCTTTTCTTCTCTCTCTGAGGTTCTTGTATCCCTGGGAGATGCTATACTACCATCCTTGGGGGAAAATGAGGTCCAAAATGTGAATGTGCTTTTGGAAAGCAAGCCAGGTATCTTATATCCTAGTTCTCATTTTGTTGGCTTGTTCTTGCAGAGTAAAGGTGGAATTCTATCCAAAGCCTGTGATTATATCCAGGAACTTCGACAGAGTAACCACCGTTTGTCTGAAGAACTGCAGGGGCTTGACCAACTGCAGCTGGACAATGATGTGCTTCGACAGCAGGTCAGACCCCTATCCTTGGTATAGCCCTCCTCCACCCCCATGGCCACTGACCCAGTTTGGGATTCCCTGCTTTGTTTTCCATAGAGAAGGCTTCATCTTTTTCCTCTCACCAGTGGATGTCAGAATAAGTTCAGGAACTTGTCTGTGCCCGCTTTTCTACCCATCCCCCTTACTGCCTCCTTCCCATGTTAGGTGGAAGATCTTAAAAACAAGAATCTGATGCTGCGAGCTCAGTTGCGGCACCACGGAGTAGAAGTCGTCATCAAGAACGACAGCAACTAACGATGGGGGCTTGGGCCTACCAGCCCCTTTCTGAGAACTGCAGATAGCCCAGGAGCAACAGGCTAACCCCATGCCCCTTTCCTTCACTGTCCACTTCTGGCATGGGACTGGGGGGAGCTCAGAAGGCGTGTCTTTGAACCGAGGCCCTGTGATAGAGCAGCCTGCAGTGGTGTGACACACACACGTGGACGTGCGCTGACAGCCTTGCCCAGCCCCACCATGCAGCCCTTGGGTCCTTGTGCTCCTTTTGCACAATGCATGTGCTGTCTCCGTGCTGGATACTGGACGCACTAAACTGGGGGGCTTGCCCTGTGCTTGCTTAGGGTGCCAGCAGAGGGTCTGCTGACAAGGCTTGCCCCAGGACTCTGGCGCTTCCACTGGTTCTTCCTTTCCCTGGAGCTCAGATGTGCACCTGAGGACTCTGGGGAACAGACTTTAGCAAGAAGTGGGGGAAAGGATCCTTAGCAGTGGCTGCTGCCCCAGGAAGAGGAGGTTGGCCAGCAAGCAGCTAAGGCCTATGCAGAAATCTTGAGCCAGGGAGAACAACAGGCAGGGGCCCACTTGGGGCCTTCCCCCTTGTGGGGACGGTTTATTTTCTTTTCTTTCTTTCTTTCTTTCTTTCTTTCTTTCTTTCTTTCTTTTTTTTTTTTTTAAGATAAAATGTTCAGAGCCACAGTTGTCTCCTGTTTTTCCTCCTTTTATGGGCTCCACGGCGGAAGGGAGGGGGCACGTTGCACTTTGACCATAAGGGTTGGGCCAAGATTAGGGTGGGGTGCTGCTCCTATACTCCTTACTCTGCGTTCTAGTACCTGGGCCAGACCAGTGTGTCGTTGCCCGCCCACACCGGGCAACCGCAAAGATTTCTCTGGAGGGCCAGTGTTACTGCACCCTCACAGGTGCTGAAGGGGCAGTGCGGGAGGCGGTCCCTTCGCTTCCGGTTCCGGTCTCGGCTTCTGGAGGGCGGGAGAGATGCTGCAGGCTCGGAGGGGGCGGGCCGGGACCGCGTTCCTGCAACTCGCAATCGTGGCGCGCACCATGGCTGGAGGTACCTGCGGGGGAGACCTGGGACCTCGCCCTGTCCTACATGTGGCCCTCGGGGGCGCGTAGAGCCCCCCCTCCCCGGGTGGGGGTGTATGCGGAGGGTGGCACCGAGGGGCGTGGCTGAGAGGTCCTCACGCACTCCCCCACCGGGTTGGGATGCTTCCAGGTGAAGGGAGCCGTGGCAGCCGGGCGTTGTAGTCCCGCTCCCCTCAAGACTCTCGTGCCCCCTTCCTCAGTGCCCACAGTCTCGCTCCCTGAACTCCGTTCGCTCCTAGCCTCGGGCCGGGCCCGACTCATCGATGTGAGATCTCGGGAAGAATCGGCAGCTGGGACCATCCCTGGGGCGCTCAACATCCCGGGTATGGGATTGAGAGGGGATGCCCAGGTGGTGGAGTAGAGACAGTCCGGGGACGTCTTAGCTAATGGGACTTCATGCAGGATGGCATGGGAAAGGCTCTGGTTATGGGTGTCCTGCATTCCCTTAAGCCCCCACCCCGCTAAGCTTCCCTAGAGAATGGCTGATTGGAGGCAGATCCTGGCAGTGGAACTGGCCCTTCCAGTTTGACGGGATAACAGGCCATGAGGAAGGGGCCGACCACCTTCTCTATGGTTGACCTCCCCTACCAAGGCTGGATGCCTGAGTCCGCCCTCTCCTCCTCACAACTCAGGAAGTGGCTCCTATTCAAAGGTAGTTTGGCTGACTTCCTGGGTGGGTAGGCTGTATCTTGTCCTTGAAGTTGGGGGCTGGTGGCCACCATGTGTTGTTTTGGGGCCCCCTGGAGATTTGTTCGACCACCAGGACCCAGTCCTTCCAGGCCTAACCTCACCTGAGATTGCCCAACTGCCGGCTTTCCATTCTATCCTCGACTCCTCCTCCTAGTGTCTGAGTTGGAAAGTGCCCTGCAGATGGAGCCAGCTGCTTTCCAGGCTTTGTACTCCACCGAGAAGCCAAAACTGGAAGATGAGAATCTCATTTTCTTCTGTCACTTGGGCAAGCGGGGCTTGCAGGCCACACAGTTGGCACAGGGCCTTGGATACACAGGGTACGAAGGGTGTATGGGGAAGGTGTGAATTGCTAGCTGGGCAGTGACTAGGGACTGCCTCCTGGGCCTGTCCTTCCCTCACCCATCTTTGTCTCCACAGGGCTCGCAACTACGCAGGGGCCTATAGAGAATGGTTACAGCAAGAAGGTTAGGTAGAAGATGGCCTACTGATTGCCTCCTTCCCACCCGCACTTGCACCTTGACTAAGGGTGATGAAGGGGCTGACTTTTTGGGTTGGGCAACTCCTTATAGTGCTGTGCACACAAAAGCATCAAATAAAGAGCATTTAATCAAGTATTAGAAGCACTAAATTTGTCAGGTGGACTGAAAACTGTTCTGATCTTAATCTAGACCTCAGTTCAGCCCTGGGTCCTTCTCTTTCCAGCATTCATCTACTCTCCCAGCCCCCCACACACCAAAATAAATAAATAAATAAATAAATTTAAAAATCCAGCGGGGGCCGGCCCTGTGGCTTAGCAGTTAAGTGCACGTGCTCCGCTACTGTCGGCCCGGGGTTCGGATCCCGGGCGCGCACCGACGCACCGCTTCTCCGGCCATGCTGAAGCCGCGTCCCACATACAGCAACTAGAAGGATGTGCAACTATGACATACAACTATCTACTGGGGCTTTGGGGGGGAGAAAAAAAAAAGGAGGAGGATTGGCAATAGATGTTAGCTCAGGGCCGGTCTTCCTCAGCAAAAAGAGGAGGATTAGCATGGATGTTAGTTCAGGGTTGATCTTCCTCTCACACACACAAAAAATTTTAATGGCAGAGTTTTGCCTTCTTAAGTTTGACTTGTAAAATTTTTCTTCCTTTATTTGTGGAAGAGAAAGCTGGGTTAGAGATGGACCCAATTTTCTGATTTCTGAAGAAATTCCTTCAGTTATATAATGTTATAAACCAATGTTACTGCAATAAAAAAAAAAAAAAGAAATTCCTTAAGACATTTACTGTATTCCTTGCCTTTCTCGCACCTCCTTTTCCTCTTCCCTTCTGACCTCTGGACTGTACCAGCCCTCCTTCGTCATTTACCTCACAGTCTACACTGCACAATCTATAAAATCTTCCATTCATCTAGGCTCTTTACCTTCTCTCACAGAGCTATCCCACTCTCTCCCTGGGCTAATCACAAAACATTACTGTCTTAGCTTAGCTGGACATTGGGTCTGGAGGTAAAGTTGAGAATATATGAAAGAGTCTAGCCCGAGGTCTGGCAAATAGTAGGTGTCACTCTCCCCAAATACCCAAATCTCTGGTTCTCAGACTGGTTGGGAAATTTTTCCTGGGGCCTAATTTCCCTCTTTGAGTCTTAACTGTTCTGGTCTTTTTTTTCCCTCCACAAGTATTATAACTTGATTATAGCATTTCTTTTCTTTTTTTAATTGAGGCATAATTTATCTACAATAAAATGCACAGTTCTGAAGTGTTCGGTTCATTGAGTGCTTCCTGGCCTGCCAACCCATACTGTTTGCTTTCTTCAGTTTAGCTGATGAGGGTTAAAGAGGATCCGGGAAGTAAGCTGAGCTGGCCCATTACATGACCATGCCCTCTGGCTTGATCATTGCTAAGAGAACATTCTTCTTTCTCCCTCATCTCCCTGTTTGCTTCATAATCTTGATAGGCTGTTCCAACCCATTACCTTGCCCTTTAAAGTTCTCTTTCCATTTCCTCATACCTAACTATTTCAGGAGGGGAGGCTGAAGAGTTCCAGTTTAGGCCAGTTCTGTGTCCTTCCCTTCTGTGTCCTTCTGCCTTCCTTTCCATGCTACATTAGACTCTTCCTTCTCACCACACTTTATGTACCCTAAGTTTCTGTTGACCTCACATCTACTACACTACATTTGTGTTGTTTATCTCTCCCAATTGATTGTGAGCTCCTCAAAGGCAGGAAATGGCTTTCATTTCCTTACCTCCAGTGCCTGGAATGAACATGAGTTCTCAGAAGGTGTTTGTTGAGCCTCACTAGCCTAGTGATTTTCAGAATCTTCTAATATCAGCCTTTCTGAAACATTGCTGCCTGAACAATCTTAAAATAACCTTTTTATCTTATCAGTCAAAGTAGATAATTTACAATAGGTCCTTGTTGCCCTAGTGGCTCAAGCACACGTGTTGGCCTGGCCTTTCAAGCAGTCTGTAGTCTGGATCTGGCGTCACCCTGCCTTTCCAAACATCTTTCAGTGCCTGCTCCCATCAGGCTGGTTTCTTTAGTGGCCTAAGTAGACCCTACTCCTTCCTGACCCTGGCCCTTACTCATCATTTCCCCTGTTTGGGAAACTTCCAGTCTCTTTTGTACCACTCTGAATTTCACAAGAATCACAAGAATGTATTTGGCAGTACACTTGCTGTTCTCATCCAGAGGGCTTTTGAACTGAAGGAGATGGGAGAAAAATAACCAGATAAAATTATATAACTGAATTCCGTGAAGGACACAAGAAACAGAGGATAGTGGATAAGGAATACACCTCTATTGTAGCACTTCTCACTGTATTATAACTTGCATGGCTCTTGGCCTTTTGACTAAGCTCTTAAGGGGAAGGACTGTTTATTTCATCTTTGTATGGCCAACAATTAAACCACAACCTGGCATATAGGAGTTACTCAATAGATGTTGAATGTTTAGTAATTCCCAGGGGAAAAAATGCAAAAGGAGAAAGTTGGGAATAATACTCACGAATGGTAGCATGTTATTATATAAAGAGCAAAGGCTGTGAATCAGAGTTCTGAGTTCCAGTTCTGACTTAGTGTGACTTAGTGGTCACTGCAAGTTACTTTTTAACTATTCCAACTCTCATTTTCCTTATCTATAAATAGGGGTTAAAAGGCTTATCTCTTTAGATAGTTGTGAAAGTTTACTAGGACAATAGATATAAAGTGCTGGCCACATAGAACGAATGTGTGGATTGGTGGCGTAGGGTTTAAGTTCGCGTGCTCAGCGGCCTGGGGATCGCAGGTTCGGATTCTGGGCACGGACTTATGCACCACTCATCAAGCCATGCTATGGCAGCATCCCATGTACAAAATAGAGGAAGATGGGCACAGGTGTTAGCCCAGGGCTAATCTTCCTCAGCAAAAAGAGGAAGATTGGCAGCGGATGTTAGCTCAGAGCTGATCTCCCTCACCAAAAAAAAAAAAAAAAAAGAACATGTGGATTTAGAGATGTATATGCGAGTACGAATAATAAACACAAGAAGGTAAATAAAATAGCATCGATATTATAGAAACTTGATGGAGGGAACTTATGACTGGCAGTGGAAGGTTATGTCATATTAAAAAGAAAATATATTTAATAGAAGACTCAGACATCATAAGTGTACAGCTTGATGAATTTTTACAAAGTGGACACACATTTAACCACCACTGTGGTCGGAAAATGTATGCTGTATGATTTGAATTATTTAAACTGTGTTGAGACTTGGTTTATGGCCAAGTGTATGGTCAATTTCTATAAATGTTCCATGAACACTTGAAAAGAGGATATATTCTACAGTTTTTGGGTACAGTGTTCTATATACGTCAATTAGGTCCAGTTTATTAATTAGGTTCAAATCTATATCTCTACTAATTTTTGTGTCTGTTTTTCTATCAGCTACTTAGAGAGGTAGTTTTAAATCTCTCACTATGATTTGGATTTGTCTTTTCTCCTTTTAGTTCTGGCATTTTTACTTTATATATTTGGAGACTAAGTTGTTAGAGTGTACAAATTTAGAATTGTTATGCTTCCTCGTGAATGGATCCTTTTCTCATTATGTTCCTCTCTACCTCTGATGCTGCTTCCTACCTTAAAGTCAATTTTGTCTACTATTAGTACAACTATACCAGCTTCATTTTGGTTAGTATTTACATGGCAATAATAGAGCAGGTCTCCTGGAATTCATATTAACCAAAGAAGAAAACACTAAGCAAGTTAGATATAAGAAGTGGACTACAGGAAAGCAGATTTTTAAAATTAAAAGAAAATATAGGTTAAGCTCATAGCAGAGACTCAAGAGTCTCAAAGAAAGTTGAAAGTACTCAGAAACTAGACTTGATAGTATTTCTCAATGTGAAATCCTTCTAGCTCATTCATTCTACTAGTATTCCCATTCCTAATCATATTCATCAACCTATCAAGTCCTCCAATTAATTGAGCTTTCCAAAATTTAGCTATTTATTATTTTCCTCCTAATCCCGTAGATGCCAAGCATGGTTCATCATTATCATCATTCCTTTGCATAACTAGGAATAAACTTATCAAGAAAGTTTAAGACCTATATGAAGAAAATATTAAAACACAATGAAAAGACCTTAAAAAAAGACTTGTACAAAAAAAAAGAAAAGACTTAGGAGATTCTTGGAGAGGAAGACTCAACTTCATAAATATATCAGTTTAGTTGAAATTAAGAATAGCCAGAAAAGCTAGAAAAGAACATCAATGAGGGGGAGGAAGTCCTATATAATAAATTGTTAGTAATTAAAACAATGTGCATGGATAGATAGATGGGTTCCATATCCCACACCATAAACCAAGATCAGTTTCAAATTGATCAAAGATTTAAAGTAAAAATGGAAACTATCAAGAATTCTTTCATTATCTTAAAGTGGGGAAGATATTTCTAACTTTGAGTCAAAATTTAGAGCCATAAAAGAAAAGATTGATAAATTAAAGTACAAAAAAGCAATTGAAAGCCTTCTGCATGGCAAAAACAAAGAAACAAACACCACACAAGTCAAGTCAAAAGACAAACAGCAAACTGGGGGACAAATTCAACTCATAGCATACATAAAGGGCTAATTCCTGGAATATATAAAGAGCCCTTACAATAGATAAGAAAAAGACAACTATCTCAATTAAAAAATGAGCAATACATATGAAGAGACAGTTCACAGAATACACCTAACTTTTAAATCGACGGAGATGCTCAGTTTACTCATAATAAGAGATATGCAAATTAAAACTAAACTGAGGTTTCAATTTACATTTATCAGATAAGCAAAAATTCAAATGTTTCAGAAAACACTCTTTTGGCAAGACAGGGAAAAATAGATATGCTAATAGATTATGTAAATATAAATTGGTACAAACTCAAGGAGGACAATTTGCCAATATCAATCAAAATAATAACTGCATATATCCTTTGACCCAGCATTCACATTTCTCGAGATTTATCCTACAAATAAGCTTGCATCCACATGAAATGATATATGTATGAGTTTATTCATTACCTTATTTATATTAGCAAAAGACTGGAACTAATCCAGGTATAAGTATCCAGGAAGTAATCCATCTATAAATTAAAACTGGCTAAATAAACATCATAAACATACAATAGAATATTATGTAGCTGTAAAAAATAATGAGGAAACTCTCAGTATACTCACAAAGGGTCTCCAAGATACGTTGTTAGGTGAAAAAAATAGTACGCTGTCTTTTGCGTGAAAAAAAAAAAAGTGAGGTAATATGGATATATATTTATAATTGCTCATATTAGCAAAAAGAAACTCTGGAAGGACACAGAGAGAATTAGTAAAAAGTAACTCCCTTGCAGACCTCTTTAACATTCTTGCTGCTCTCTCTATCCACTTGCTTAGGAAAAGCCCAGCTATGGTCAAATTCACTAACCACTTACTCTTTCCCTGCATTCAAACAGCTGGAGTAAAATTCACACCAGTTTGACTGGTCTCTCTTTAAATTATGTCCAAAATATCTAGTAGGCACTTAACATGCTCACCAGTCCTAAAACACTTCCCTAGTGTGTTCAGTTTCTATCTCCACTTCTCCCCACTCTTTAGATCTCTTAAACTTTCTTTTTCCTCTGCTAATGACTTTACCTCATACTACATTGAGAACAGAAGAAATCAGACTGAATTTCCATCATCTTCCCAACAACAAATGTACCAACTATACCATATGCTTCCCTCTTGTTATGGTGGATGGTTGTCTCTGCTCCCTTTTAACCCTCACCTTGAGCTCTGGATCCCATCTCCTCTCCTCAAGAACTTGGTACTGCAACTGTCCCCTCTTTTTCATACATCATTCATTTATTTCCTTTCTACTGGATCATTGCCATTAGCATACAAGCATTTCCATGTAAACACAATACGTACTCTGCCTTCATCCAACACCCCTCTAGCTGCTGCTCCTTTTCTCTGCTGCCCGCCTCAGCAAAATCTCTACTGAACTGTCTATAGCCACAGTCATTATTTCTGCAATTTACATTCTCTCCTCAGCCTACTCCATACAGTTTTTTTTTAATTGAGGTATAATTGACATACCACACAGGTTTTATTGCCCATCCCACTAGTCCAATGAAACTTCTTTCAGAGTGACCCTTGAACAACACACACTGATTAGTCATTAGATATAGGTGACCCTTGGAAGGGATTGTGCCCTTGACCTAGGTACCTGTCTTCAGTGGAGGCCATTTCCAAAGAGGCCAACAGCTGGTGGAACAAGTCCTTCATTCCTGAAGGGGACTCTGGGTAGCACATCATGGTACTCACTCAGTATGTTTGTATGTGCACAAAACCCTACATTCCAAAAAGGATAAAAAGAATTAAAAAAAATATGTCAGGGCTAAGGGAAAATTGGATAGCACAGTCAGATGAAGTCAGGATAAAGAGAGATGAAGTTAGGAATGCACGTCAATTTTTGGACTTGGGGCCGGCCCTGTGGCTTGGTGGTTAAGTGCGCGCGCTGCGATGCTGGTGGCCCGGGTTCGGATCCCGGGTGCGCATCAAGGCACCGCTTCTCCGTTCATCCTGAGGCCGAGTCCCACATACAGCAACTAGAAGGATGTGCAGCTACGACATACATCTATCCACTGGGGCTTTGGGGGGAAAAAATAAAATAAATAAAATCTTAAAAAAAAAAAAAAAATTTTTTTGGACTTGGATTGCAGATTTGGATTTGGTCTTCTTAGAGACCAAAGCAAAATGACTAACAGGGCGATTATAAAATTCAAGGTATCCATAAGACAAATATATGACAGAAGCACAGCATCTCTCAACAGGAACATCTGAAACTATCAACACCTAGAGTGGTATTAGTGTACCATGCCAGCTTGGACAGAGGTCACGTCAGGATTCTGTTTTCAATTCCATGCTTGTTCAATATTTTTATTAACCTATTGGATTAGGTCATAGAAAGCATGTTTATGAAACTTGCATATGATAGAAATTCCGTGTGACTGCTAATATATTGGATGACAGAATCAAGATTTATGTTTAATAATCCCTTCCAGAATTTTCTACCTTGCAGACAAACTCACCCAGCCTGAAGTTTACAAAATCTGCTTTTTTGAAAGGCTACAGAAAACAAATGACATTGCAATTTAAAAATTTATTATTCATTTAAGCAACTTTATGGGAAAAGGAACTTGGTGAATACAAAATTATTTGCATACTCTAAAATTACTTTCATGCTTTGTAAATGTATACATAAATGTTTTACATAAAAATAACTGGGATACATACTATTTGTAATTACTTTTTCATTTGATATTAATTAACATTATTTCATGTACATTTCTACACATTAATATTTCATTTTCAAAACAAAAAGATATAAAATGAGATAGGGATAAATGCAAAATGTACTTTGGTTAAGAAACAACTAGACAAGTATAGGATGTGAGAGGCCTGATTTAATAGTAGTCCAAGTGAAAATAAAAGGCTTATGGGTTTTAGTTTGCTACAAATTGACTATAACTCAATAGTATAATATGGCTATTATAGTTGCGAATGCATTCTTAGACTGTAAATAAGGGTAATGGAAGTAGATACCATTTCAGTACTTAAAATGTACCATGCCCTGTGCTAAGCATATAATGTCTATTATATTATTTAATCCTTATTTGCCATAAGGTAAATGATATTACCATTATCATAACGACCTTCTGGATGCAGAAAGTTTCAGAGATGTGAACTGGCCAAAGACAGATAGCTAGATATTGGGGAACTGGGTCTGAACTGAGATCTGCCCATCCCATAGAGGGATGGTTTCTCCAGTGCCTGGTTCATGAACAAACAAGGGACTATCCAAAGGAGGGAGATTAATTATGCGGTGGGAGGCTTGTGAAACCGTGCCATATGAAGACTATTTGAATGATATAAAGATGTTTAGCTTGGAGAAGGAAAGACTCAGAAGGCTCATAATAAGTATCTTAAAATACTTGAAGGAAGGGCTGTCATTGGCAAAGAATAATGAGATACTTTGTGTAACTCGAGAGAACAGTGGCTGGAAGTTACCAGGAGGCAGATTTCAATTTGTTGAAAGGATATTCTAACGATTAAGAGTTGTACAGAAAGCAGCATGGTCTGCCTTGAGAACTCTTAGGAGAGTTTAAGCAGAGGACGTCTAAACTCTGGGTGGTTGTATGGGCCTTCCTGTGAAGGGTGAAACGATCAGTCTTAGAGTTCCTGTAAACCCCTGCTCAAGTTCCTCCCTCTTCAAGTTTTCTCTGACAATCACAGTCCACAGTGACTGGTCCCTTCTCCAAGCTCCTCCTCCACCCCCTTTACTCTCATACTTAACTTCCTGTATATGGCTCTTTCTCCAAGACTTTAAATTCCTTTGAAGGTAAAGAACGGATCATTGCACATGGCACACACCCAAATATTTGTTTCGATTTAGTAATATGAAGTTTCTCTTTTGGTTACACATTGTCTTGTTTCCTGCATTAGTCTGGGAAGTAGATTGTAAGTCATCTGAAGTCAGGGATTGTGGTTTATATTTGTTTGTATTGCCCTTCAGCACCCAGTAGGTGCTTGATAAATGTTGCTTGATAAACAGTGTTTCTGGTGGAACGGGAAGTAGACCTTTGGCCCAAGAGATGTGGACAAAAGGAATGAGACCAAAGGTGAAAGAAGCAAAAAGTCAAAGAACACCGTTTTGGATAAAAGTGTGGATTTTTTTACTTACAGTGAGATAATGTTCTGAAAGTTTTCCCATAGGCAACCTGGATATACTAAGATCACTTAAAATTAATCATTGTAAAATGGAAGCTAGACATAGCAAAGGTGTTAGGCATGAGTTTCAACTAAAAATGATGTAACAATATAAATATTAACAGAAAGCTTGAGTATCAACATAGTCTATAGAAAGAGGGTCTTAGTCATCACCCCACTATTAGTCACAGTGAGAAGAAAAAAATAATTCTGGAATGTAGGGCTCTGCTGACAGATCAAACGTGTTAAGGACATATCCGCAGTCAGTCACAATGATGTTTATAAAGCATCTGTAGGTCAGTTTGTATTATCTGGGCGTGTTTGGTGCACATGTGTTTAAAGTTCTTCCTGAGATAATGTAATTCTGCTTTTCCCATTTTTGAGTTGACCGCTCCCTTCCCCTCTCTTTTCCCTCTCCTTTTCTTTTCCTCCTTTCTGCGCTGCCCAATTCTCAAAGCCTGTGTATGCTGCTAATGGGGTCGACAGAGGAACACAGTTTGGGGGTTGTGTTAAGATATCATTCCACTTCTCTCCTGGTCCTTTCCCCCAACCCTCGCATATTAATATGTGATTTTCACTTGCCAAAGGGACCAAGTTTTCTGCAGCACCCAGCAATTTACATACAAACAAACAAACAAACAATAAAAAAACAAAATCAGGCCCGTCTCCGCGAGCCCCGCAGTACGACTCTCTTCCATACCTCCTCCTTTTAGGTATTCCTCTAGTCCTCCAGCCCCAACTCAGAGCCCAGCCAGTCAGAAAATCCCTACTTCAGGAACGCCGCCCAATCAGGATGTCCTCACCTGCAGAAGGTGAGGAATTGGCTCCTTACGCGACAGTGTTCTGGGCCAATCAGAGGCGGCTCTGGCTTGGAAAGGCGCCAATCCGCCCCAGTAGGGAGTAGTGGGCGGAGTCCCACCTGGCGACGGTGAATCACTCAACCGAGCGGCGGCTGCCTCCGCCAATCGGAATGTGCAGGGGCGGGGCGCCGACCAATCCGGCGTGGAGGGAAGGGCCGGGCGAGGCTCAACCTGGCGGCTGGAGTTTAGTCCTCGCGCTGCAGTGGGTGAAGCTGTGTCTGTTCCCAGGGCTCTGGCGGCCGCTGTCGTTTCGGGATCCTGATCGTGATGGGGACAAAGGCGAAAGCCGGGAAGAAACAGTTGCTTCTCTTCACATCGGTGATTCTGTGTAAGTTCCCGGAGTTTCGGGAGAAATCGGTGGGTCGGGGCAGAGGTTGGAGGGAGGCACTCCCCACGCCCTTTGCCCACGGGAGGGGAGGAGTTCAGAAACTTGCCAGCCTCCTAGTCCTGTTTTCCACCTCTGGCTCCTTTCTCTTCTTTCCCCTCCCCCTCCCCCTAGTGAGTGGCTGGCTCCCCTCCCCCATATCAGTGAGTTGTGACCTCTCCCCTTACATCCACCCGGAGAGAGCTGCCCCTTCCGCACTTACACCAAAAATAACGGGGAGGGGTTGGTTCCACTTTCCCCCATCCTCACATACTGGTGAGGGCCGATGGGCGCGAGGGCCCTGCCCACGTACGTCTCCCCAGCCATCCCCCTCCACACGCACCTGGGAAGGGCATTCTGCCTCTCCAATACGCATCCAACGTCTGCGAGCAACACAAGAGAAGTCATGGGCCTCTCACCCCCTGACTTCCTTGGCCCTGGATGCTCTGCTCCTGGAGGGTCCTCAGAGAAAATCTAGTGGAGTGGGGTGAGGTGGAAGTCTCTTTCCCTGGCTGCTCCTGAAGGGGTCTCTTTAGCTCCCCCTGATCTTTGGTTTGCGGTGGTTGCTCTGGAAAAGTGTCTGAGTGCAAACTCTGAAGAGGAAATAAGACTGAAATCTGAAATTTCTCAGAGCACAGCATTCAAAGTTTCTTTCTGGAATAACTGCCTTAAGAGTCCTTAATAAATATTGTTGACTGAGTGACTATTCCCAGGAGGAGGAGGACCTGTCTGTTGGTTGGCTGGATCCTTCTCACAGTGAGAACTCTGCCCTACCCCTGGCTGTGTATGAGAGTGTTTGTTTCTTTTGTAAACTCCCTTTTCTGTGGAACAATGAGGCTGACTTGCTGGGTCATGCCTCTGACTATAGATGTGTTTGTACCGGGCTGAGTGAAAGGTTTATGCCTTCGTCAGTCAACCTGTGTCAGCACCTGTACAGGTGTCCGTCTGCTTCTTGAGTGTCTGTGCGTGTGCTTATGTGGATAGTTGTGTCAGTATGTGTTCTGTAGGAATCGCTGTTTTTTCCTCAGTGTCCATATTTTAGGAAGTGTAAAAGAAATGAACATTTACAATCAATATCGGTGATTATAAGGCATTTCATTTTGCTCAGTTTTGAAGGGTGGAAATAGATTCCCTGCCCTGAAACAGATGGATTGACTAGTCCTTTGTCCCTTATCACAAAGACGTAAACCCTTTGGGTGGAGTGGACCAGAGGCAAGTCTAATCCTCTCTATTGTACAGATAAGGAAACAGGTCCTAAGAGAGGAGATGACTTTTCCAGATTGATAAAAGGTCCCGGGAATGGAACCAAAGTCTCCTGACTCCATTATCCTTTTTCCACTCCTGGATCCAGCATCTTAGGGACCCTATGGCACAGGAACCATGATATCAAACGTCAGTTTGGAATACTGTCCACTATCTTACTTACTTTTTTCCATTTTTCTTTCCCACTAGATTCTTTATTCTCCCACTTCTCCCTTTCATTCTACTCCTTCATCCCCCACCCCCTTGTTTTTGATTTCCTTTCTTTTCCTACCCCCACCCTTACTTCTGCCTGTATCTTAGAACTGCTAGTGACACCCATGGTCATTTTTTGGTTCTGTGTGGCTCAGCACTAAAGACTTTGCCAACCCTTGTACTGTGCTAGTACTGTTCCCCCACAAACCTAGAAGTTTCTGAGTCAGAGACTCTATTTGTGACAGTACTTGTCAGGCTTGTAAGCTTCCTGGAGCTGCATCTTGCTCCCCTTCCCTCTTCTTTTCTTTCCCTCTAATTTTCTATATTGTGATAATCACACAATAATCACATAGTGGCACTGATGGCACCATTCTGAGCTTGGGGATGTCCTCTAGTCTGTTCAGGGAATCAAGAAACAGTGGTTCAGAGGGAGCCTAAGATGATGTTTTGTAAGCATGGCAGGACAGTGGGTCCTGGGAAGGGGTGGAGGAACTGATCTTGTCACATTTAAATCAGGATAGAGCTGGGGGGAAGTGATTTGATTAGTATAATGAAGATGGGACTAGGAGCAAGGTCACCCCACTAGGGTTCTAGCTCGGCTTTCTGCCTTCTTTGTGATCTTCGGCAAAGTAGCTTAGTCTTTTCATCTGTAAAAAAGAGTAATAACACTTGTTCTAAACCTGTCCTGAGGATGAACCGGGCTAATAGCCACATTACATATACATGAAGGGATTATTTATTATTAGGCAGCTCTTATCCCCTTTGAATTTTGTGAGGATGAAAGAATACTGTGTCTGGTAGAGTAGGTCAGAGAAAGAAGAGAGAGACCCTGATAGATCCCAAATGGCAAGAGTCGAAAAGCAGAGGCTTGCTCTTGAGCATCTAGTCTGTCCTCTGCCTTTGGGATATTGAAAGTATATACAGAATGCCCATGTGCTCTCCCTCCTCCCTCCAGGGCTCCTCCTCATTGTGGGCTCTGCCATCAAGGAGGAAGAAGAAAGAGTAAGATATGATCAACAAGTCAAGCAGAGGCCCAGCTGCAGCCTGGGGATGCTAGTGGAAAGGAAGGCCTGAGCCTGCTGGGGCAGGGATCCGAGGTGCAACACTGGGAGGACTGGGCTTGGGAAAAGCAAAACTGGTGACAGAGAGTACCAGTCTCCCTCTCCCTAGAGAGCCTGTACTTAGAAAAGTTTCCAGCTACCTCCCAGGTAGGGAGAGGCATTTCCGCTTAGCAGGGTGCCGTGTGAACAGGATGACTTTTGTGTAAGCCATGGGGGAGAGAGGGGAACCTAGGTTGGAACCCTGGTTTTTGCCCCCCCACCCCTTACTCGAGTGTGGTGTCTCAACTGAGGCATTCCAGGAGGGAGGAACTGCTGCCCTGTGCCTGGGTCAGTCTGTGAGGCCTGGTGTTTCCTACTGATGTTTCAGACTCCAGCCCTTCTAGCTTTGCTGTTCAGGGTTAGACACACCGCAGAACTGTAGATTGGTGAGTCACTCCTCCCCTCCTCTCCCAACTGAATTTACTCCCAGGAAAGAATTGTTCCCTCGAAGCCAGACTAGAAACTAGTGACTGGCAACAGCTGGAACTAGGAAATGCACGGTGGTGGAATTCCAGAACCTTAGTCTTTTCCTAGCTCCGGAACACTTTCACTTCGGGCTGTTTCTCTTCAGTTTCTTTGTGATCTGGGCTTGTCTGGGGTCTCCAGCCTCATTTTGGTTTGGGGTACAGCTGCTGTAGTTAAAAAAAAAAGTTTATTTATTTAGAATAGGTTAACACATTGATGTGGTTCAAGAATCAAGATGATATTAAAGGAGTGGGGGGATCTCACTCCCACACTGTTCCTGTTCCCACCATACCGCCCCATCCCTTTTCTTATACAAAAAGAGACACACTATATACATTCTGCTGCATCCTGTATCTTGTTTATTTCACTTCCTATACCCTGGAGATCTTGCCATATTGGTGTTACAGGTGTTGTGGCTTTGGCCGTTAGGATCCGCCTCCCCTCAACACCTCCTCACAAGTCATTTGGGTCACGCCTGTTCTATGGACACAGAAATGGCTGACACCTCTGCTTAAAGATAGATTTAAAAGCTACACACATTTTATGTGATAGATCAGGAAATAATGGAGCTTGTTTTTCACATCTGTTAGCGTTGAGGACCTTGGGGATCTCTACGCTCAGACCTGTTTCCTTTTCAGAGGTTCAGGAAAGACCTGGATAACCACTTGCCAAATGTAATTGTGGAAGAGGTTTCAGTGTTGTGAGGGGGTTGTGGAAAGCGGTGTGAGTGGACGCATACTGGGGGTTTCCAGGCACTGAAAACTCAGAGTTCATCTGCCTGGGACTCCCTGATAAGCAGGGTTTCTGTCTAAAGTCCAGCTTGTGTCATTTATTTCACAATGTAGAGGCAGGACAGGAGGAAGCCGCTGGTTGGCAGGAAGTTTGATGCCAGGCCCCTGGAGTGAGCCCTGGGCAGGCAGGCGCAACCCTCCCTTGTAATGGGGAGCTGGTGGGGGGAGGGGGGGAGCTGAGCAGGTAGAACTGGAAATTCTGCTGTGAGAAGGCAGGAGGGAGTGATGAAGCGAAAACTCCTGTCCTACACTGCCGGGACCACTTTCTCCCATCCACTTTCTCCCATCCGCAGAGGGCCATGCCACCTGACCGACGTCACAGAAAGCGCAGCCAAGGGTGGTGTTTAGGTTTAGCCCAGCCTGTTGTTGGGCTCACAAAGCCTTCCTCTTGCCCACACATTCCTTCTCTGTCCCACCCCAACCTCCAGGAGTGAGTTCAGTCTCTACAGGGTGAGTGGTGGGGAGGAAAGGGCAAACCAGGGATGGAAGCCCTAGGTCCAGGGTCTAATTGTATTGCAATGTCAAATTCATTTGTTAATCCAATAAACATTGGTGTTTACCATGTCCTGAGCACTGTGCTAGAGATAAGGGATAAAAAAACGAGTAACACTGCTATCAGGAAGCTCCGAGGGAACCGGAGGTGTTGGTAACAATTAGCCTACATTCAGTGACCTGTGAATACACTGTAGGTGGTGGCTTTTGGAGGCTCTGGCTCATCCTGCCTGTTCAGCAGCTCTAGCTCCCGTAGAGCTGGAGGGTCCTATGAAGCTCATGTGCCTAAAGGGGAAGTTTGGTTGAATTCTTAGAGAAAACCAGAGATGCTGGCCGGCTGGCTGGCTGGCTTCCCTCTTCTTCTTTCCTTTTTTAGAAAAATGAATTCAAACAAACTCATGGCACGAAAGGAAGTTAAGGAAAATTCTAACTGATGCACCGCTTGTCAAGCCATGCTGTGGCGGCGTCCCACATAAAGTAGAGGAAGAGGGGCACAGATGTTAGCTCAGGGCTGATCTTCTTCACACACACAAAAAAAGGAAAATTCTAATAATTAACAGAACATATAGAGAAAACAAAGTTTTCTTAATAAAGCAGTCGAAGGAAGTAGCTTTTCTGTTGTGGGTTTGACTTGCATGTATAAGGAGTGATTGGTGGCGGT